GTTGTCCTTGAAGGACACCGAATCCTCGAGAGGGAGGGTAACGTGCTTGGCTAGTCTCATCAAGGCCGCATCAACTAATGAGGCCGATTCTAGATCCCACACACGGATCTTCACTCTCTGCCTTACTATCTGAGGCTCTGGCTGCCAGGTAGCTAGGTTTTGAAGGCTCCAATCCCTCTTGGGGATCTTTGGGAGGGGAGCACACCCCGACTGATGGGCTGCGGGCGCAACTAGTCCCAATTTCTTTCAGGGACTCTTGAACGACCTGTCTGACCAAAGCCTCTACCTGTTGGTTGGCGCCTTCTCTCTCGCTGGTCACCCGTGCAAAACAGGAATCACATAATGACCTGTTGTCAGGAACCTGAGAATCGCACCCCCAGCAAGCATTCCTATTTCCTATTAAAGTGGCTGGAGTGCCCCTTAACGCGAAGACTGGAGGAGGAGTGAGAGCTTCTCCGATGACAGCTGGAAAGAGACCTGTGGCATCCGGATTTAGAGGACAAATGATGGCGCCGAGACGTATTGGGATTTTTTTTTAGCAAAGACGTAGCCTAAATTAGACATTTTGGCCTAAATTTATGATGAAATTAGATTTTTATATTTTTTTACTGGACATGTTTAATAGCAAAAAGTCCAAAGTATTGTTTTTTTCTTAAAATTGTCAGGTTTTTTTTGCTTATAGTGCAAAAAATAAAAAAATGCAGAGGTGATCACATACCACCGAAAGAAAGCTCATTTTGTGGGAAAAAAAAGACGTAAATTTCATTTGGGTGCAGCGTTGCATGACCGCGCAATTGTCAGTTAAAGTAACACAGCGCCGTATCACAAAAAATTGCTTGGTCAAGAAGGGGGGGGGGTAAATCATTTAGAGGGCGAGTGTTTTAAACATGTCCAGTAAAAAAAATTTTTAAATCAAATCTTGTCATAAATTTACACCAAACTGTATTCTGCTGCGTCTTTGCTAACAAAAAATCCCAATACTTGTAAATTAATTGATTTACGTGAAAGTTATAGCGTTTACAAATGGCGGTATATATACTGGAATTTTTTTTAATTTTTACTAGTAATGGCGGCAATCAGCAACTTATAGTGGGACTGCAGCGGACATTCTGACACTGGGGGAAAATGACTTGGGGTCACAGACATCCCCAGTGACACCAATACAGTGATCAGTGCTAAAAAAAAAAAAATCACTGACACACTGGGCAGGAAGGGGTTAATGTAAGGGGCAATCAAAGGGTTAACTGTGTGCTGGGAGTGTTTTACTAGGGGGCGGGGGGTGGTGTTCTTCACTGTAAGCACACTGATCGGGATGGCTGTACTGTGCACAGCCATACAGAGCACTGTGCTCGTGCTGACAGGGAGGTTGATTGTTTGTAAAAACACAATCTTCCTCCCCATCAGAGATGCTCGGTAATTACCGGCCGGGACGTGTTGATCAACATCAGTGGAGCATGCCCTCCACCCGGAAATGCAGAATGATGTATATATGCACATGATCCTGCGCACAGGTGCCGCCCTGTAGCAGTATATCTGTTATAGGGCGGACCTAAAGCAGTTAACCACTTGCCACTCAGTCACTTTATATTTACTGTGACCGAGTGGCAGCTGCAGGCTCAGCAACAAACATTGTGCGCTTGCATCTGAATCTGGGGTACCCCCCTGCAGACCCTATGGTATCCAACCACAGCACAATTTTGTCAGAAGGTCCCAGCCAATGATTTATAGCAGATATCTGTGCCTAATCACAGCAGAGAGTTGTGTTCAAAAACACAGGGCTCTGTACACAGAGCAGCTCTCGGTTTCTTTTTCCCTGCTTTTCAGGGAGAAAAATACATCTATTAGTAAAAGCAGCACAGTTTACACACATTACACTTGTTAGGCACACAGTTAACCCTTTGAGTGCCCATAGAGGTTAACCCTTCACAGCCAGTGTCATTAGTACAGTTTTATATCTGATCACAGTATTAGTGTCACTATTGATGTCAGTTAGTGAAGATTGTCCGCCACACTATCAGTTTCCCCCTATAAGTCGCCAATCACCGCCATTACCAGTACAGCGTCATAGCTGCATAGATTCCAGTATATATACACACACACACACACCATCGTTTCTTTTGGTGCAGAAATCCAACAGAGATATTATCTACTAGGAAAACTAATACAGGGATGTGCAATTCATATCGCCCGGGACATGCAGTTCCGGGCTCCGGGCAGGTAGCCTTTTTGCCTTTAGCCTTGCTGCGGGAAGCAGCAGGGCTCACCTGTTGCCCGATTGCTTCCACACAGCCCACAGTGCCAGCCTCTCCCCCCTGCCTGTTATATGTCCCAGACCCCACTTACCCATCTGCGGGCCCGGGACTGGATCTGTGGGTGACGGCAGAATGTGGTATAGGGGAGGGTGGAGAGCGGACACATCCGCTCCCCTCCCCTCCTTGTCCTGACCCGGAAGTGATGTGACATAACTTCCGGGTCCCTGTTTGACAGATTCCTGGTCCTTGAGGCTGAGAAAGAAGGTAGGGCGATGAGCACTGCATTACATTCAGTGGAGCACAAAAAAAAAAAAGTCAAAGTCCCCTATTTGTGAGAGAGATTTTTTATATATATATATATATATATATATATATGTATGTGAAAAGGCCCCCACATATGTACGCACGCACATGCGGGGCACCTACACATGAAGACGTTGATTGCAATACACGTTACATATTGCCGTGCACGCCAGAATGAGAGCAATAATTCTAGCACCAGACCACCTCCATAACGCTAAACTGATGACCTATAAGGGGCTTTAAAAAAGTCACCTATAGAAAATATAGGGTACTAACATTAGTTGCCATTTCACGAGTGCATGCAAATTTAAGGTTTGACATGTTGGATATATATTTACTTGATACAACCTCGTCTTTTATATTTTAGAAAAAATTTGATAATTTTTTGCTTTTTGTGCCCTAAAATTAACTTGTGTATTTTTTACTGAAATTTTGCATTTCCTAGACCTTTGTGATAATATTGTGTGTGACATACAAAATTGAAATTACCACTATTTTATTCTCTAGGATCTCCAACTTCAGAAAATATATCATGTTGGGGGTTTTGTGTCATCTTCAGGCCTTAAATGATTTTTTTTTTTTAAAAAGGTGTGCAAAAAACGCAAACACAGCTCTGGCATCAAAATGGATAAAGGATAAGCCCAACACTCCCCTTTCCTGACGAGCAACCAATCGGTGCTCATTACACTGCAAGGTCTCTCCCCTCCCTACTAGTCCCCAGGTGCAGTGCTGGGAGGGAAAGAGGAGATAAACAGCGCAATGTTAAAAATATTAAATGTTTAAGTCGCCATAATGCCCCTTTTGTTTTTAAAAGCCCCAGACATTACTTAAAGCAGATTTAAATGCGCTTTTGGTTAAAATTTGTTTTTGTTTTTTTTTTTTTATCAGGACAAGTAAAATTGTCATAAGGGACAAGAAGATTGGGACACTAATTTAGTCCTATGGACAAATAGTTTTTTTCAAAAATTCCACAACCCTGGACATACTAAGCAATACCTGAACAAAAGTTGCTCTATGGTCAAATATCTTTCATTCTGACAGTGAAATGAGAACTGCTTTGTTTGTAGGTACAAGTAGCTTGGGTAATCAGTACTAAAAGAAATGTCTGTTGTCCTGGCAGGAATATTTTGGTCACCATAAATAAGTCATGTCATGTTTCCATGGTTATGATTAGCACAAAATGTTCATATGGGCATCAGGTTAATAAAAAACAAAAAAAATTGAGCTTGCTAGTGCTGACCTCTTGATACAGCTGCCTGTTATGCTAAAGCTGGTCATAAACTTTCAGGAATACCCCCCATACTGGGACACTGTATACTTTTGCTATCAGAATACACTGATCAGCAGCTGGTCAAGGAAAATTCTCCAATAAGTCCCCTTTGACAGAAGTCGCTCAAACGATCGACTTCTGTCAAGCGAGGATGGCTACATATTGACTTGAATTCTGTCTGTCCCTACTTAACAGGTCAAATTTCAATTCAGTCTATAGCCAGCTTAACTTTAGGATCCCCCCCAAAACTCTTTGGCTTTAATATGAGTCAGTACACCAGAACAAGTATGCAGTCAGTGAAATCAGAATTCCTGATCTGTTTACTTGCTCCAGGCGAGTTATCCAAAAACAGAAGCCAGACCTCTAGTATTTTCAGGAGATCAGTGGCAGCCACTATATTTCTAACATGACATGTTACCTTTACATACCACATAAAAAAAAAATGACAACGCTTTTTGGGGAGGCCAAATTAGTTTATTTATTTTGACATTAGCCAATTAATTTATTAAAAGGACATTTCATTTTTTCTTGTGCTTTTATTTAAAAGTACAGACATCAGTTTACTTTTGTGGTTTTCACTGCGTTAAAAAATACAGTGGACACAAACATGAATTTGGATTTCTTGCTGTAGACATGGTTTAGCAAATCAGTAGCAGAAACCTCTATAAAGATATTATAATAAGTAATAAAAAAAAAACAAAACAAAACAAAAAAAAAAAAAGATCTATTTGGGTTTGGAATGACATACTTTTCTTAAGGATGTGTATAATACAGGAATTTTCAGAAGGGAAGCTTTCAGGTTTCATTTCACGGCACATAAGCATTTTCACTTTACATAAAAAAACAACTAGCTTTAGTAAGGTCAAAATACATCCTTTTATAACAAAACTAAATTTACTTGTAGTATAAACAATGATATACACATATTACACTGTGTACACTATATACACAATCATACAAAATAGAATACTACATACAGAAAATGTAAAATGCAAGTCCCGTTAATGTTCTTGCAGAGGGAAAGAAAAGCTGCTTTCAAAATGCTGGGAAAATTTGTACAACTGGCAAGAGTACAGTAAGAGCATCAAATAGATGGGATGATTACAACTGGGCTTTCAGTAGGGCTTTCAGGTGGAAAGTCATCAGCTCCTTGCACTGATCGGAATGTTGAATGGTCATGTCCATCCAGTGACTTGGAGGCTTTGGAAGGACACTCGGGGATGGCGGGTCACTAAACTTTGCCCCTGCGTAATTGATTTCTTTTTCATCGATAGTGCAAATGTCTCTTTTCGACTGAATTTTCTGGACATTTTCAGCACTTGTTAAGGGTTTCTTAGTTTTTCGAACTTCACTGTTGGAAAGCTCAGAATCAGTTTGAAGCCTTTCCATTTTTCGTGGGGTATTGGTCTTTGCATGCTGAACATTACATTTGTTCTTTTGCTTGTGAAGATTCCATTGTTCACAACGATGAGCCGTTGGATTACAGGTTGTTGTATTGTTCTTTTCTGCTTTAACAGTCTTTTTTTCTGGCTTTACTTTTGTCATTAACCCCTATTAAAAAATAAATAAAATTACCAAATACAGTCATAGCTTTAGACATTACTAATGGATTAAAACAAACAAAAAAACAACATTGTTCAAAGCCTAGTACACAATTTAAGTATTTTTACATTCAACCTAGCATGCTGAACGGAACAAAAAACAAAACAAAAAAAAAAAAAACACAACATGACAGATCACTGTGCTAACACAAATGATAAACGATGTTAGTACAGCAATCTCCTCTGCTGTGCTCTTGTGTTTTGAGGGGGATGGGATGCATCAGAAATCGCTGGCCAGCACTCGCAGCCATTGACTGCAAGCACTGATCGGATAGCAGTTGGCTGCTGGTTTTCAAGCATGCTAGTTCAAAAGGAAGCCAGCTGTGAGACCAGGTTCTGTTGGACAGCCAGCTGTACACACAGGCCGAAAGTGGGCCAGTTTCTACTGTACCAGCTGATTTCAGCCGATATTCAGACTGTGTGTACTCGGCATAACAGTTTTCCAACACAAGCATGTTTCCCCATGAAGTAGAACAACGCCTGGCGATCCTGCCAAAAATACAACCAGCTCCTACCTTACAGTAATGGGCCAGCATTTTTTTTTTTTTTTCTTCCAAAAATGGGCCAGCATTTTTAACCCCTCGAGGACAAGCTTACACACACAAGTGGCCTCACTGAATTGAGTCTCCTTCCGTGGGGGCGCACATGTGCATATCTGTATAACAAACCAAGACTGATTGGCTAAGTGTCGAGAATAAATCCAAGTAAATATAAGTACATGTATCTTAATAACAGCCACACTCACTATATTCCACATATAAATAGGAAAATTATCAAAAGTGCTAAATTCACAATCCATGACGAGCCAGAATATCCAGTGCAGATAAAGATATTATAATAAGCAATAAAAAAAAAAACAAAACAAAAAAAATATCTATTTCTAGGTTTGGAATGACATACTTTTCTTAGGGATGTGTATAATACAGGAATTTTCAGGAATTAATCCCACTGATGGACAAATTCTTCACCACGTTTGTACACTGACAGTCACAAACTGCTTACCAGATCATGAGACCTAAAAGAGAAGGAGGTCTGGCTACACAGAGGGAAAAAACCCAAATGGATGGATAGATGAAAACCTCACAGTACATCAAGTCAACTCCTCATGCCAAAACCAACAATTCAGTGAGATAAACCAACTCAAGATTATATTAATGACAAGTAAGAGGGAGAAGGTCTCTCAGTGTAGAAATAAAATCACCACTTTTATTAAGATAAGAAAGCTACTCAAGTATAAAAGTTAAACCAGCATTACAATCTCAGTTTACCCCTATCAACGGCACAACGGGCATGATGACATCACTGCTGTAGCTCCGCCCAACACATTTCATCCAATAGGACTTCATCACTGGGACAACAGGCTCTATAGTGTGCTCCCATCCGGAAACTGAGCTGTCACCAAAAGCTCCAGGTCTTGTACCAATGGTCAGGAAATGGGAGGACTGGCTCTTGATAACATGATCACTTTGAAGCCTGTAATTAGCTATTGCATTGATCAATAACTAGTCAACCTTTTCCCCTTGAATGGAGAAAAGGACAGATTGGGGGAGATTTACTAAAACTGGAGCACTCAGAAGCTGATTGGTTACCATGCACAACTGCACCAAATTCTAACTTCAGCTTGCTTAGTTAAGCTTTGACAAAAATAATTGAAAGCCAATTGGTTTCTATGCAGAGCTGCACCAGATTTGGCACTCTCCAGTTTTAGTAAAATCAACTCCACTGCATCTTTTTCTCCCAACTAGGGATGTATGTACACAAAAAGGCTGCGTAAAAAATAAATATATAATTTAAAGATGATATCCATGTTCGGGTCAAAAGGGAAAGGTCAGTATGATTTAGGTAGGATTTTAATTCAGTTCCAGTTAGTGTGTTTTAGGTAGGCTAAAAAAAAACAACACTATTGTTTCTGGGTCATAGTATGGGTACAAACATCAAATAACATACACATAAGTGGTATCACTGCAATCATCAGGAGCAGAAGAATTTATTTAGGGTTTTGTTGCCTTGTTATGGTAGGGACCAGCCAAATTTCAATCTATGTGTAGCCCTCCCCATTTAAAAGAAGCCAATTGTTAGGTGGCTTATGTCAAATGGACATGCTGGTAAAAGGCCAAATTCACCTTTTGGGAAAAAAATAATAAATGCACAGAATTTTTGCAGGAAAAAAAATTCATTCACCCCCCCCCCCCCCCCCAAGGAGCCTGAAAAGCATTGCAACAGTGATCAATGGGTTCAATGTCAGACTCCTGCAGACAAGCCCTGCAGCTTTCAGCCCGTACCTTCCTAGAGCTGACTGTTTACAAGCTGCAGGGCTTGTGAATGAAGTACGAGACTGCTCATCACCGACTCGCAGTTCATTCTGAATTACAAGCCATCAGACTGATTTGTAAGTTGTGCGTTTAGTAACACTTTAGGAAGATATAACTTGGGGAAATGTGCATATGTTGGAGAACTGCATCTTCCTTTTTTTTTTTTTTTTGATGGTGTGCCAACACAAAAGTCATTATACAGAGGAGCACCTTTGCATCTGTTAGTCAAATCCAGCTCTTAGGCAGGCCACATACTATGCAATTTTCTTTCCTTCAACCACAGATTGAAGGAAAGAAAATTACTCGATTTTCCCCCCATCAACACAGCCAGCAGAATACAATAATCATTGCTGGTGGCTATAGCCTCAGGCAGTGATTGGGTGAAAAGAACCCAACAGGCTGGTCTATTAATGCCTCCTAGATTGTAAGCTCCGAGGAGCAGGGCCCTCCTAACCCTCTTGTATTGTTGCTGTATTGTCTCCCATTATATTGTAAAGCGCTGAGCAAACTGTTGGCTCTAAATAAATCCTGTATATAATAATAAATAATTGACTCAGTACAACCAGCCTGCCCATAGTTGGATTGACATTTGGCTGGTTCCTGCTGAACTGGACACATTTTGATCTATCGATGGCTTTATTAAATTGACCAACCACCAGCGCTGCCTGATCCATTGTCTGTAACTGTAAACAAGTATAGAGAAAAATACGTAGGTTCCATTGATGATCCCAATTCGAATATGCCAACTGCAAGGCTGTTTCTGGCTTCCCTAATTTGAGTCCTTGACCCAGGACAAGCTTGTCACCAATACAGTCAGAAATCCCAATTTGCAGTATTGAAGATATTGGATCAGCATAACAGCCAGGCTGCTAATATTTTAGGCGAGGCCAACAATAACATATTTCTAGCAGTACAGGTTTCCTTAAAAACATATCCAAATAGCATCAGGCACCTTATAACTATGCAGTCAGCCTGGCCATGCATGTCAGACACATCAACATACCTGCAGATGTGTAAGGGAAAAATGTATGTCTGTAAATGAACTACCACATAGAATATTTCCAAGAAACCCCTACACTCTTAGCACAAAATGTACACATCGGTAAAAAGTTTATTTTAAATACTTGTCCTCCTGAGGATTCACTCCCCTTCATGCCCAGGCCATTTTTTTTGCGTTACGGTGATGCGTAACCTTAACTGACAATTGCGCCGTCATGCAACGCTGCACCGAAATGAAATTTACACACTTTTTTCCCCACTAATAGAGCAAATAATTGAGAAAAAAATATATATATTTTTGACTTTTTGCTATTAAACTTTTCCAGTATAATATTTATTTTTTTTTAGCACATTTCATTATACATTTAGGCCAAAATGTATTCTGCTATGTCTTTGCTAAAAAAAAATCCCAATACGTGTAAATTAATTGGTTTACGTGAACTTTATAGTGTTTACAAATGGCAGTATATATACACAGATTTTCTTTATTTTTACTAGTAATGGCGGCGATCAGTGACTGCGGTGGGCATTCCAACACTGGGGGGGAACTGACACCAATACAGTGATCAGTGCTAATAAAAAGCACTGACACTGTACTAATGGCACTGGGCAAGAAGGGGTTAACATGTGGGGCGATCAAAGGGTTAACTGTGCTGATGTACACTGTGTGGCTGTGTTTGTGTTTCACTGTAAGCACACTGCTATGCACAGCCATCCAAAGTAGTGTGCAGGAGCCGACAGGGGAGAGAACTGTTTTGTTTACAAACAGGTTCCCCCCCCCCTGTCAGAGATGCTTGGCAATCACCGGGCGCTAGCGAGTAATTACCCTCCGGGATCTGGCGATTGGCAGCCGTGGCTGCGAATGGCAGCACGGGTTGGGTGCGCACGCCCCCTACCCCGGACGTTTTAAATCACATATATACATGATTTTGTACACCTGTGCCGCCCTGTAGCAGTACTTCTGCTATAGGGCGGAAGGGAAGCGGTTAATACACTGTATAGTCTGGAAATCAGCTTTAATGTGGAACTAAATTCGAAGTTAAAAACTGGCGACATGGCAGGCCCCTTATTGCAGTATAAGCAATGTATTTTCTGAAATAAAACGAACCTACCTGCCTGTGGTAGTCTTCTTTAACCACCTCCCGCCCGCCATATAGTAAGTAATATGACGGGCGCAAGGTGGTTCTCTCGTTCTGAGAGGATGTCCTATGATGTCCTCCCATTCTCACTGCGCATGCGTGGCCCAGGGAGCGCGCAGCGCTGCGATCGGCGGTGCGCTGTGTCCCTCGGACACAGCGGATCACCAATCACGGAAAGAGCCGAAGATGTCAGCTCGGTCATGTGATCAGCTGTGTCCAATCTCAGCTGATCACATGTAAACAGGGAAATGCCGGTTAT